GGTAGTTGGGTCTTGTTTCTGGTTTGTAGTTGGTTTGTTTAGTTTGTTCATTTGTTTAGGAAATTTTGTTAGAAAGTTTTGTCCGGGTATTGACAAAGGGGGAGATTGTTAGGTCCCTTGTTCTTGTCAATCCCGCGAACAACTTTGTTAATTGAGTTATAAAATTTCCTTACTATTTTGTCTTCCTCGCTCGAGCGAAGGACTGCGTCTACAAAAAAACTTGAAAGAGTTTATTGTTCGCTCGAGCGAAGGTGTAGACACCCCATTTTTGACAGCCCTTAAGACTTGGACGCGACTGATAGTTTACATGGTGGAGAAAGGTGTGCAGGGCAATGGTTCAATTTCTTCGGCAAGAGGAGAGTCCAGTCCCAACTTCATACACCCTTTTGGACCAAAACAATCTTGCTCAAAAGATTTTAGACTTGAAACCCTCTCTTTCAAAATGTTTTGAAAATAAAGTTCCTACGATGTTCCGACGCTCGCTTTTCATTAAATGTTGCACTTTTCGGAAAAAGTCTTGTATTGGCATGCTTAAGATCTTTCATTAAGGTCATTTTGGTGTTGGGGGTCGACCTCCCCCTCTTAGGCCTTGTTTGGCCCTTTTTGTGCTCTCTTTGATAAGCTTTGGGGACTTTTGTGTATTGGCCTTCTCACCACTGAAATCCAGTGGATTTTCAGTGGTGAAGAAGGGGTTTTTAAGTCTTGCATAGGGGAGGGACACCCTTCTCCCTTGGTCTCTCTTTTGTTTGCATTTTTGGCCCATAAGGGTAGCATGTATGATTAGTTGTTCTTGGCTTCATTTCAGAGGTTTTTGGGTGTTATTGGGTCATATTAAGCCTCTGTTTTTGGTCGGATCAGTGACCCCTTCCATGCTTAATATACTTGCTTTGTATTCCTCTTTTTTGCCTAGAAGTGCATCATGTATTTAGTCTACCATGCTCTCATGTTTTGGCCTAACTTTGTGAAGTTCTTAGCCATGTCTTACCATACTTGAGGTCTGTTGGGAACTATTTTGGTCATATTTGCTATGTTTAGGTTTGCCCCTTTGTATTTTGGCTTGTGAGCCTTGAGGGTGTGAGTCATGAGCATGCTTTAGTCGGGATATTTCAGTGATTTGGAATCACTTATCATGCTATTTCAGTCCCTAATCCATGCTTGTATGCTTGCATTCATCATCCCTTTCATGCCTTGAAGGATTGTTCTTTTATGCCTAGAAATGAGTCATTGTGTATGATACCATGTTTAGGCATTTGTGGCTATCATATCAGTGGGTTTTGGGGTGTATTTTGATGCATAGAAACTCTGTTTTTGGTTGCTTAGTTCACGCCATGAGTGCTTGGGGTAGGTGTTGAGCAATGCTCTCTTTTGTGGCCTTGAATCCTTTCCATTTTTGCATCCATTCCCTAGCATGTTTTGGCATCATTCTTGGCACGCTTTTCAAAGTTTAACATGAGTGTTTAATATCCATGAATATCACCTTTGAGTGTTCTTGAGAGTAGCCCTCCATGCTTGGGTGATGGGCCTTGGTGTGTGCACACTTGCATGCATAATTTGTCTCCTTTTGCATCATTTTTTGGCCACTGTTTTGGGGTGTAGCTGAGGCCTCCCATTTCGGTTTAAGTCCCTCCTTGTGTATAGTTGCATGTTTGACATATTGCCTCTAATTACATGCTTACATTATACCATGCTTGCATCACATGTTAGGTTGCATCGCATTGTAGCATTGCATACTTGGCACATTACATTCTTGCATGATAGGTCACCTTGCATTTGGCATGCCTTGTAACTTAGCCTCATGTTGCATATTTGAGCCACGTTGCATTTTTGAGCCATGTTTGTATACATGCATTGCATGGTTTGGTTTGGGGTGTCAAACCAAGCATGACGGGTGAGGTGTGTTCGTACTCAAAGTGACGAAACACGCCTCAACCCTCGGTCGCTAATGCCCTTGACCCCAACATGATACGGCATAAGGCATTCATCTCTTTTATGCATGCATTTACATTAAGTTGCAAACTTGGTGTCTTAGGCCATCATGCATTGAAATGCGTGATCGATGGCCCGAGTATCGAGGGTCACACTCCCATGAGTCCATAGCATGATTGGGAGAGTGGCCATGCATACATTTTTTAACAATGCTAAAGAGGCCCAAACTAATGCAAACAATTTGTAGACACAAGAATAAACAATGGTAAAATATATATATTTCAGTGTAACTAACATGAAATATCATTTTTTTAATCCATACGACTAACGAATTATTGATGAAAGGGAAATAAATATGTAAATTAAAATATTAAGGGAGACCATTATAATTATGTCAACCTTGTGAATTTAATATAATTTTTCCAAACCTCAAGAAAGGTTAATGGAATTTACCTTATATGTTTTTACTAAATAAAAAATATATTATCTTCAATTAAAAAAAATTATATACGCATTAAATTATATTTTACTTATTTTTTAATCAGCTAGATAAGTATCATTAGGGATTAAAAAATGCCACGATACCACTAACTAAAAATAACATTAACATTTGTTATTAATTTTTTGTTAAATAGGTTATCCGTATCAATTTTGTTATATGTAGGTTCGACACTAATCTGACTTATTTAATATTTATTTTATTGAATCATGTCATATTCATATCCATGTAGAAAAATAATTCATCCGAACACTAATTTTGTGTCCAATTCAAGGTGTGTTATAGTATAATGTCAAAAAATTATACTCTTAAATGTAAAATTTCATTACAAAAAACTTATACATTTATATGTAAGAACTTGTAAATATAATAAAGGGTAATTAATTCATTTTAAATAATGAGGAAATAATAAAATAAAATGGACGTCATAGTGGTTGGCTTTTACGAGAAGTGAATTTGGAAGCCTACTTGGGTGACTTCTTCGGAATTGGCTTTCTACTATCGTGCTTCCGATGGAATGACTTCTGATTACCTTTATCAAACAGAATAAAAACCTTCAAAAGGACTTTAATAGTTTGGAAGGACTTTCAAAAGTCTTGCCAAACGTTACATGTTCAACTTCTTAAGTCAATGGGACAACACAAGGGTCTGTTAAACATCTAATTCAATTCAAAATCTCTTACACCTTTAGATATAACATATGAAGATGTGTGTACCCCAAATGGCATTGCCAGTAAGAGGGCATCACCTGGTATTATTCTGCAAAGTGGAGGAAAGAATAAAACCCAGGCCGTTATCTTCAAAAGCCTAAATCATTGGGTGTAACAGCTACTACTTAAATTTGAATCTAAGGGAGCTGGTTGTATTTAGTTCTTATAAAGGAGGAAGTTTTTATGGCCTTATTCCTATTTTATCTTAGCTATAACCACCATGCACATACATGCATAGACGGGCTCAAGTCATGATGCAGGGCCTAAGAAGCATGGACACGGACACGTGACACGACACGGATACGACACGGACACGCTGACACGTTAATTTTCAAAAAATGAAGGACACGACACGTAGGGGACACGCGTGAAATATGTAATTTTATATATTTATTATATGTTATATATATTAATATATCATTCAAAGATAATAAAAAATGCAATATGACACTAATTCTTATAAATTTATATGATTTTTGTTTTATTATTGTATGTTAAGTTATTTTGTTTAAACTTATAATTAGTTTCACATGTATCCAATCGATAGACACGTGTGTTTATGTGATTGACATGTGTGTCTTCTAAGTATCCAAAGAGTGTTCGGCTGTTTAAAAAAATTTTAAAATTAGGACACGTTTTGAAGAGTGTCGGACACGTGTCCTAAGAGTGTCCAAAGAGTGTCGGTGTCCGACACGGACACGACACGGATACGTCACCTTCTTAGAAGTGTCTGTGCTTCTTAGTGCAGGGCATTTGTCAAGGACTAAGGCTTTCTTGGTGATCACGTCCATTAATCCAAGCAACACAACTTCCTACATCAAAGGGACAGGTACTAAAAGCTAGGAAAGTGACACATGGCGAAGTATAAAGGGCTCTGAAGAACAGGGCAAGATTTGCATAAAGTAGTTGATGGATCATGGGAATGAATGATCAGAAAATGCTGGAAGTAGTTGTAGAAGTCGAGTGCAACATGGGACACGTGACAACATTTGATTGGGAACATAGGTAAAGAATCACAATTGGATAAACTACCAAGAATAGAAGATTTGAAGGCATGGTAAAGAGTCCAACATGACAATTGACCAATTTATTCAATCAATCTTTCAATTCAACTATGGCTGAATGCTTCTATCTTTATCATTACCTTAGCTTTAGTAGCTTAGTTTTCCTTATCTTACCAATAGCTTTAAAACTATTCATTCAGATCTGTAATCATTACTATTTCCATCAATGGTAACATTTACTTTCTTTGCTTAATTTATTGTCCTTCATTTCAATCATATCAAGGCGAGTCCAACACTTCCACACTTGATAAATAGTGGAGTCTTCTTCATTAAGGCAAGAGAGAACCCGTATGGCTTGCCCCTCAAATCCCAAGCTTTCATTTTGATTACAAGTTAGATTCAAGCACATTCGCCCTCAACCACATTTGGATCTCACTTGATCCTAGAGCACCCACACATTCATTCAGCCTATAAGTTTTTTCTCATCTCATTTGAGACGTAACAAAAGAATGATCCAAATTTTCATTCATTTAATTAATTTAAATGGCTACAGAAACTTCTACTCTCTAGATGTCAAAGGAAGCTCCTGATTTCATGAAATGCTCTGTTGTATCTAAGAAGTGTTTGTTCTAGATATCTAGTCTAAATCATATTTCATCTCTATTTGTAATGTATAACAAAATACTGACAAACTACACAGTAAATGCAGCTCTCAATTATATTTTGTTCTTTATAATATCAAATTGAAGCCTCTTTTTACTAATTATACATTATACATAAACAAGACCAAAAAAACTACCACCTCTAGCAATTAAGGCGGGTCATTGGCAAGACAATGATTCAAATTGAAAAAAGCATATATTATTGACAATAATAGAGACAATATATATAAATGTACAAATTCAGTATGGTATTATGCCAAACCATCCAAGATTTTATTTGGATGAAGTAAACCGGATAGATATATATAATTGATGATGAAAAGAGACAGAACAACAAACAACCAACCTGGCGTGAAAGATCAAATTGGGCCAAAAAGACCTCAGCAGCCTTCAGTGTCTTATCAATGTTTTCGTGTGCCCTCCTAATCGAATGCGTCCTTATCTACACAAGAAACCCAAAACTCATTAAAATGATTGATAGATAGATTGTGGGTGTTTGGGAAGTTGCTACTAAAAAGGCTATTTTAGTTTTTGACTATTTTCATAGGTTAAAATTTTTGTGTTCGAGAGAGGATAGTTGGATTTTTATTTTTATTTTTTTTTGTAGTTGTATGTGATGCGTGTGAGAATGAAAATGAAATGATTATGAATTTGATGTGACCTTTTTTTGATTGGTTATTTTAGCCTATTTTGCCATTTTGTAAATTTTAACCAACAAGCTAAAAAAAAGCCCTTGCCAAACACCTATTATTGATAGATCGCAACTCAACACATATGTATCTTTTCCAGATCATGCATATTTAAGTGTATGCATGTGTATATACATGTAAGAATATGTGCATTATGAATGTATATGAATATGAATGTGTGTGTGTGTGTGTGAGAGAGAGAGAGAGTGCCTGAGTAGGGCGCATGGCAGTTTCAAGGGCAGAGAGGCGATGGTCAAAAGAGCCAAGAATGGTGACCATGTTGTCTGTGAAGGTTTGGCTCTTCTGCAGAGACTCCCTCATGAATGTGACCTTCTCGCTTAGTGTTTCCATTACCAGAGAACGAACGCCCATTTCTTCTATATTACTCTCACTCATCATATATGTCTATTTTCTCTCTAACGATGACAATTTAGAAAGACAGACACAAACACAGAGAGAGAGAGAGAAATGAAATGCAAAAGAATGCGTATTTTTGGGTTAGCGTTTATAGGGAACGACTTCCCTCCTGGCCTTGAGTTCCATAGCTCACCAGACTTTTAGTCTCACCATGCCACCTCTTTCTCTTCCTCCTTTTGTTTGGGTAGAAAAATATGTTTTTAAAAAATAATTTATATATTTTTTTGATATTTGATATAATGAAAAATAAAAATTAATTAAAAATATTTTCCTTAATTTATAAAAAAAAATAAGTTTATATGAATAGAAAATATTTTTCAGACTAAAATCTTATCAATGTCACCACACCACAACCGCCACTCTCACCTCCACCATCACACAACCACCTCAACCTTCATTTCACCATCACTATCACCAAATATAGAAAAATATTGGGGCTTGCTTCCCTTCCGTCATTGATCAGACTAGAAGGTACTGTTACGCTCGCGGGGATTCACCACGAATCCTGTTTCGATAATCTGAACCGTTCAATGTGTAGAACTCGTTGAGTACTATATTCTTAAAACACATTACGTTAATTGGATATCGATAGCTACATGATCAAATCAGTTTTGTATTAAAAAAAATGAAATGTGAAAAAATAAACAGTTGACAGAAATCTGATCCAATGAAATAGCTATCGATATCCGATCAACGTGATTTTTTACTGACATATAACACTTGACGAGTTCTACACATTGAACGGTTCGGATTATCGCAATGGAACCCTTGGTGGGCCCTCATGGGCTTAACAGTACATTTCAGTCCGATCACGGACTGAAAGGAAGCCCAGCCCAAAAATATTTTCTCCAAAAAATATTTTCTAAAAAAGGTTTTCTATAGAAATTGTTTTCCATTTGAAAATATTTTCTACTCAAACAAACAGAGCGTTACACAGAGTTAAAATATATATATATATACATATATATATTTATTTAGAGCCGACAACTAATTTTTAAAATTAATTTACATAAAAATATATGGTGATCCCGCTAAATCATTTGGATTCATGTTTCTTTCAAAGAAAATTCTATTCGATTACAAATATCTACTTTCCCATTTTACTTCTGTTGGCTTTTTGGCTTTCGAAGGTTATTATTGTAATTGTAAGCGTGCCAGCAAGAATCAATCAGTCCTTACAGAAAATTAATTGTCAACCAATTATCATACGATTGTGTTTTAATTCTTTCAGCCTCAATGAAGAGGACTTTTACTGGTGACTTGATTTAGGAGAATTAAGCAAACAACATTCAAATGAAGAACAATTGAAGCATCTCATTAAAATGAAAAACTTACAATGATCCAATTCAGCCTCGTAGAGGTTTACAACAACAATCTACTTGAAACTACTCCTATGAACGAAGTGCAGTGCAGGAATTTTAAAGTACAGAAATGTAAAGAACAAGAAATATAAAACTGGAAAGGAAATAAAGTAGGATAAAACTGGTTTTTTGGATCTGAGTCTGGGGCTTTTTTTTGGGGCCTTCTCTGCTATTTATACTTCTCAAGGATAACCATCGAACTGCACTTCTAACCATCGAACTGCTTTTCCATGATCGCTGATCATGTTGCCATATAGTTAGCTCCACTACGCCAATACTGCAGTTAGGCTTCCCTCTTGATTTTGAATTTAAATGTGAGTGACCGTTGAAGCCACATCACTTTGCATCTCTTTTGCTGATCCAGTACTACGCAGATCTTATGAAAACGAATACTAACTGCCATGTGGACGATCACGATCGAAGGTTTGAATTATCTTCCCGTATTACCCGCAACCTGCCACGTGTTGAACTGTGATTGACTCTATACAAAATATGTAGCCAACATTACCCCCCGCACTAATATACCCAATACTTGGTGATATTAGTGGATCAAGGTATTTTCCCACGTCTTAGAACGTGCATGGGCTTTTGCATTTCTTAGAAATGCAACTGTCATTCATCATTTGCATTAAATTATCATCTAACCCTTGAACACTCTCACTATCTCAGTATTCGAAAAGACTGATACATCTTTTATGGCCAAGCCAATCTTCTCTTCTATTGATCGAGTATACGAGGAGTCATTTGATGATGCTGATCTTCCTCGAAAGAACCTTCATGCATTGATTAGCCACCCTTACCCACCTTCCTATATTCAAGTAATGAAAGCTTGTACAAACTATCAACCTTTGGATTACATACTCGCTACTCATAATTCTCTAACCCAAAATTTTACAAATATTGACATTGGAAGCTCTTCTTCTAATCCACAATCTTCTGCATAGGATGAGGCTGTGGCTTCTTCTTCCTCTGGGGCTTCTAGTTGGAGAAACTGGTTAGAACCTGATGCATGTGAGTTAAGGGAGCGAGTTAATCATCACTTTGTCGAGTTCACTGATCCCCTAGAATTCCCTTATGATGCTCGAAGTTCTGTGGTTTATCCTTACATGCCCATTGACCGCCGACGTAGTTTAAAGGACAGTCTGTTTGTAGCATGGTACACATCCTCCATGCCTACAAAGATAGTATAAGCTACTCGACGCCCAGAAAAGGCACAAGGGTATAACCCATTGTTCTTATCCCAGAAGGCGAGGCTTTGCTCTTCTGACTAGCTTGATTGTGTTAATGCCCCTAAGTTTCCTTCTTCTTTCAAAATGGAAACCTCTATACCTCCCCCTCCGCAAAATCCCTGCTGGACAGAGAGACTGAGGCTTACCCTCTCTGCGGACAAGGTTTTTCCTCCTTATAAGCCTCCACCTTCCCCTACTCCAGCTTAGCGAAAGCAAGCCCAACTTTTGCTTGCGGTCTTTTCTCACTTGCATTTCAATGATCTTGAAGACGATGTTCCTCTCAAGAACCTTCGATGGGCTTGTGATATTATGACTTGGGGTCACGTCCTCAACCCCATCGCCCAAACAGAACTCCAAATGTTTTTGGACCAACTTCCATTGCTTCTCCATTGGCACCGGACTTCTGTGGCCACCACCCAATCTTTGAACCAACTTTTATCCCTTCGAGTTCATACCCAGTACGAAGCAGAGAACATCATCGAAGAATATGATGATTTCAAGAATAAAGACTCTGCGTACTGGGATGACTTGAATATGGACAAGCTGGAACAAGGGTTAAAAGAAACAGCGTTTCAAATAAAGGCTGAAGAACTCTTTTATCAAGTAAGAGCACATCAACTTCAGCAGCCAAGCTTGGAGAAAATAGAGGATAGAATAAAAAAAGAATATAAATTTATCGACCATAGTTGGACTAAATTCCATGATCTTGTTATTTATTCTATTCCTTGCTTTTATGAACTCGAATTTGTACCCAAGTAGGGCCTTTTGATGTCATTGCTTTTGTTTCAATATAGCTAAGACTTTTCTCTTTGTTTGGCATGGTTTGACTTTATCTCTGTTTGTCTTTATAAGCAAATTTAGGGCTTCGAACTCCACAATCTCATCCTTCGACTCTGGATTCAATCATATCAAATGAAACACAGCAAAATCAACATGAATTGTCCAATTCATGGAATATAGTTGACAACTTTTGCTGGTTTCCATTTAGAATCAGTGCTTCGAAATTAACAACCTTGCCCCTTAAAGCTTGTTTTAACCATATCCAACATTTGGTCATGGTTAGTATGATCAATCAGTTTAAAATTGACCATTTTTGCTTCAAACAACAGTCCATACTTTCAAAAATATGGAACCCCTCTCGAAGGCTGCATTGTTTTAATCCGAAAAAATAATCTTTTCTGTATATTATTAAACCAACTATTGGTTTTGATACTTCGAACAACAATTCCCATCCTTAAGGGATCTCAAGTTTTGCTTCGAAGGATATTACTCTCATTAAGAAACTTAAAACAGGTCTTTAATCCCCTTCGAAGTAAACAAATACTTGAACATTCTTACATCCTTAGGTGTGGAATGTGCTTCGAAGCAAGCATTCGACATTCGAAGCCGTTTGTCATTTCATTTTGGCGCCAAAAATTGGCTTCAAAACCAAATATTTTATTTCGAAGCTGACATTAGTATTTGAGATGTATTTCCCTCCAGAAATTATCAATATTGAGGAAAACTCTTCGCATCCGTACTTTTAGTACTTCTTTACAGATTTCAGACACAGAGGTTTTAAAACCCTTTTATTTCGTGCTCTAAATTCACTCGTTTGCTCAACACACAAACTTTTCCCCTCTATTAACCCTCTCTTCCTTGCTGCTTGCCACCAATGGATTATTCTTCTCTGAAAACACCAACTGGCGATCGTATAAGTCCAACAATGGCTTTGAAGAAATGTATTGAGGAAGAGATCACCAAATTTACAGCTGATGGGTCAAGCGCCATAGACGGACGCCTCTTTGTTCCTCGCCATAGCGACAAACAAGAATATGTCCTAGGTCCCATCTTTCGAGAAGCTCCCGCTCAACTTCCAGCTTTATACCCTTATTGTAATAACCCCGACCTCCGATTAATGTTAATCCATGATTAGTTATGCCTAACAGTAATTTAGAAGGAATCCGGAATTAATTTGCATATGTGTTTCATTATCTTTGCGTTTCTATTTGTTTGCCATAAAATGATCTGTTCATGTTTAGACTTTGAACTGCGAATTGAAAGCCTTATCGGCGCCTGATTTCGAAATTGATTAGTGTTTCATACCAGTTAAAATATATGTGATTCTATGGTAGATTTAATTAAAATTTGATTTAGTATGATTGAATTAGATTAAATAATGTTAATTTACACTTATTTGAGTTATTACAAGTTTGCCACTTAGTGGCTTGATTCTAGACAACCTTTATTTTGCTTTATTACATATTGGATGCACCATTTGCTCACCTCCTTGTGACCAAACCGTGAGAGAGAGGGAGTGAGGGAAGAGATTGAATTCATCTAGAGATTTGCTTGGAAATTGGAGGAATTGTAGAAGAATTGCATAATTGAGCCTCCATACTTGGAATTGAAGACCTAAGGTAGGGAGTTCATCCTTTTAATTATGAATTTGAGTTGTCCTCGCTAGATTCATGGTGAAATTGGTATTTAAAGTCTAGACTTAACTCAAGGTGTTGTTTTGAGAGTTAATCCATGCATGCATGCATAAATTTCCATGCTTTGAGTTTGAGTTCTAAGATTTCTTCTATG